ATTATAAATTGTTAGATTAAAAAACTAAATCTAACAATCTAACAAAATTTTGAGTTGGGTTGATTCATGTATGTGGTTCTAGGAGAGTACACATAAGTAATAGATATTTAATATTCCTTGGCAATAGTAACTCATTATTTGACATAGTTAATGTTGACTTTTAGATTTGTGAACATTGTGTTGTGTACAAGCATCAAAGAAAAGACTTTCATGTTTGTTCTTAAAAATTCAACATTCAAAACTCAAATATGTATTTAGTAATGTGTAATATCCATCTTTGAAAACTTTAGTCTTTAGATTATTATACTCTCTAAACTTTATAAATGATTATTTAAGATTTGTGTGGATGTTTTTTTTTGCACAAAATTTTGAGATCTTTACAACTTTTAATATTAAAGAGCTCAAATTGAGACTTATACTAGATATAAGAAGTTGAAATATCTCCTAATGTATAATGGCAAGAATTATAATTTTAAGTATTTTTGAAGTCATTGCAAAAGAGTAGAAATATATTTTTATATCTTATCATGGTTAATACTCCATAACAAAACGTTGTTTTTAAGATACTCAATAGTTTGAAAAATATCAACATCATGTTGAGTACATTTATTTGACTATGTGAATTTTGAGTTGAACTCTCAATACCGCTATGTTTTTATAAATTAGTCTCAAATTGATGCAATCAATTTTTTGACACTGTTTCAGTTAAATCACAATTAAATGGTTGATTATAAGTGTTTGAAAATGTTTGAATGTTTGATTTTCTGATTATACAATTGAACTCTAATATCTTAGAATGATATTAACAAATTGTATATAATATTCAAGAAATGTCATTTTTGCATATGCTATTGGTGTTAGAGATAATCTTTAAGATTATTGTTAGTATGAATATATGTTTTTAATGAGCTAAGATTATTGAGAGATTTCTTAAATTCTTTATATATTTATTTATATGTTTTAAAATAAATGTTCATTTTTGGATGCTTCTGAATGGAAGATTGATCATTATGGATTTAGTGATGAGACACAAGTAGAGCTTGATAATTTTATGAAGCAAAGTTCTAAAGAACAAGTCTGAACTAATAGTTTATTGTTGGTGATTTTGTACTCAAATAACTTGACGTGACAGTTTAATTAACAAAAATTGTTTACTAGAAGATTATCTTATTAGATGTATATAGACTTATGAAGAATGTATTATTCGCTCATTTATTCATTTTTGAAGATTGCGATATTGAAATTGAGTATAATGATGGCATTGCGTCGATCTTGAAAGAAAGTAATATCTTTTTAATGGAAAAACTTATGTGTATGTCAATAATCTTGGATGCATTACTAATATGAATCGTGATATGCAATTGATAAAAAAACGTGGGAGTTAGTAGAAGTTCAAAAAATTCAACCTTTTATTGATAACAAATTGGTGTACAATCTAGAACACAATCTAACGGATGTTAAAAAAATAATCAAAATCAAGTTTATGGTTAGAGATTTCATTCAAGAGAAGATGTGGACTAAATTTTTTTTTTGATGTGTAACAAAATATATTATATTTTTACTACTATGTGCACTTGTTAACTATCGTAACAAGTGCACATTATTTATTATGCACCTAGTTATGTATCAGATGGATATAATTACAACATTTTTTTATTAATTTTGAAGTAGAATTTTTACATGAGATAATGAATTAGGTTAGACAAAAAATATCACGATAAGATGTTTTAAGGTTGATTTAGATTGCTGAAAGTATTATAAATGATAAAATTTAAGATTATAAAGCAAGTTACTATGGAGTGAAATGCAAGGTTTGAAAGTTCATGAAAGCTCAAGGATAAGAAGATTTTCAATCTCATTATTCTAATATTTTAGATGAATTTCATGTTTATTGCAGTTAAAAATCAATCCAATATTAACAGATACAAAAACCAATTTAAGTTTGCATTTAACATGATGTGTTTGAGTTTGTCAAAAAAATACTAAGATTAGACGTTCATAGAAATAAAAAATAAAAAAACTATGATTGAATCAAGACAAGTACATTCAACATATATTTAACAAGTTTAACATCTCATACTTCTATAGCTAATTCTGAACTTCTTTAGCAATACATTTCAAACTTTCTAAAACTCAATGTACTTGCTTGAGAAGAAATAGATGCCAACAATCTTCTATGACAAAATTGTAGACAATTTCATGTATTTGATGGTATGTACAATGCTTGATATTGTTTCAATTATAAACAAGATGATGAATACATATCAAATGTAATGAAGATGCATTGAATCTAATTTTAAAAGTTATAGTTTTTTGTTTGATGGCTTATTAGACAATACTAAACTTTGTTACATTACAATGATGTTCATTATGGACAAAATTTTTACAACACAAAACTTACAATTGTGTTTACATAAGTGGAACTTTGAAAATTCTGTTTGAAAATTTTAAGAGATATGATGTTAGTTTGCAAATTTTGCATGAGGAGCACTTGTAAAATTTTTGAACAAATTTGTTATCTCCATATATATTTCTATACTTCTATATTCACTTTATCCATTTTTTTTACTATGATGTATTGTAGTTAGTTTTGGTTTAAAAAATGTTATATATTAAGATTTTTTTCAGATTTTCCTGTAAGACAATTACATAGATTATGGAGGTTAAGAATTAAGAGGGAGATTGTGAGTAGACAATTTAATTTTATTTCAAGTATTTAAATCCTATCTAAGTTTTAGATGTTGTCACTGTAAATGAGAGGTAACCAAAGCTCTCGGTGAACACTTTAGGGTTTTTTACTAGTAAAAGCCTTATTTGAGTTCTTTGGAAGAAGTGGGGAAACATGTATTTATGTGTCGGTGTTTATGTGTATGCTCATGTATTTCAATGTGTTTGCATTTCTGCTCGCGTGTGCTTGTGTTTTCTTTAGAAAGATTTCAACATGCTCCATTAATTTCATGATAAAAAAATCCTATGTTGAAAAGAGTCTACAAGATCCAAAGTATCTAGCTGAAATTATGCGTTGATAACAATATCATGATTGCGTTATAATGACTATAACTCGCAAATCTTCTTTGTACAACAATGAGAAACCAACAGTATTATACATTACACAATATTATTGAAGAGAAGAATTACACCAAATTATTGGACTCCATTGTGAATATCGAGACTCTCGACTAAACTGAGTTTACCATTTTTTTCACATGGCATAAATGTGAAAGCATTCTCCGTCATTTTATGACATTTCCCGTGGAGGATTAAGAGAAAGCAACTCCCCGGAAACTCCTCAAACTTTGAGTAACGGGGAGTTGCTTCCTCCTCGGGAAGATACTCGTGTCTAAGAAGATAGTGAAAATTGAAGTTTACTCGGAGAAGCAGCCGTATGAACGAAGGCGCTAATCTCATTCGGCACTTGGGCTTGTCTTCTCTGCCTAGTGTCATGAGCAACCTTGGGTCGATTTGTGTATGAGAACATGTGAGAGTGTAATTCCTTTCATTGATGAGATGGATGGCTTACGGCCCATAAGTTATGGGCAGCCTCTCTAAATACGGCAGAACTCGAGAGTCCATTGTCGTATTTCGTTTTCAGAAAGTTACGTATTTCTAAAAAAAATAAATCTTTGTTATCCCCGTGGATTTACTAGAGAAACTGAGGGAGTCACTAAAACTTTGCGGTGTACTATTGTGACAATTTCTTTGTTAATTGAAGTGGCTTTACTAGAGAAATTAACATAGTTATTCAACTAAAACTTTGTGATGACAAATGATGAGTTCAACCAGGCAAGTTTTAATATTCTTCATTAACTTTGAAGACACGAGAAAATATTCAAATAGTTCTAAATATGAAGAACGTCTCAAACTTTCTTCGGAACAAAAGTACATAGAATAAATTATGAAAAAACACAAACAAATTTTGGTTTTGTGAAACTAGAACATTACTAAGTTATGATCTCGGTTCACAAAAATCTGTTGATTGAATAGTTTGATTCCAGGTATTAATTATAAATTTCTTCAAACTCATGCAATCTTTCAGAGGATTAGTTTGACGGTTTTCGAACACTGCAAAGGTGTGGAGAGTGATTTTTCAATGTTGAAATAGAAAAAGTATATTCACATATAAAAAATAACATCCATATCTTTCGAAGATATATTACATTGTACTAAAACATGAGAAATTTCTATCAAGTTCTGTATATTCTTTATTTTGATTTTGAGAATTATATTTATTTTGTTGAGATACAAAACATACCAATCCACCCTACGTATAGAGGACTGGTTATGGGGGATCGATCACCTTCCATTTATCACTTACTTGACTTCCTGGTGGACGGGAATCCCGTATACGCGTAGTTACTGCTGACCAACTGTACAACAACTTAAAGGACAGCAGAAGATCCTGGCCAAGGAAACGAAGCATGAGTACCGAGCCAGCAACACTGATCCAGAGTGTGGATTGGGCGTCATTTGGGTGGATGGACTGGGATTTGCCGCTGGATGCCTGGTAGAGAACGTGGAGCCGCCCAAAAAGCTGGAGGAAGTGTAAAGTTAGAGAAGTGGGATGTGTAGTGTTGTGAATTCGACAGAGTAAGGTGATGCCTGTGGAAAGTGCGGTCCACAATGCAAGACTGCTGCAACCGGAGTCAACTATGGTTTCAACGAAACAGAGCAGATGAAGGAAGCAGCAGCAGGCAGCGGCAGCAGCAGGCAGCTTGCCTGCGTGTGTCGTCTGTCTCTGTGGGAATCCTGAAGCTTCGCGTGCTGGCTTTAAGCAGACATGAACGCCGTTCGTGCGAACATTAGAACGATGAGGACGACGAGTGTGGGAAAAGGCGTTGACCACATTCTCATGTTTCAAATCGTGCCAGTTCGATCAGATTTGTCGAAGTTGCCTGAGAGCTTCAAAGAAGAATTATTGTCATATTGGGATTGACGGACACATGATGAGCGCGAGACAACCATATCGTGGACCAAATGGAGACAAGAATACGATACGATGCGGAGAGAAAAATTGGCTTGTAATGCAGCAGCTGAGCCGAGTCTAGAGTTCTGTGTAGAGAAGTTGGACAGCGGACTTAGGTGGCCGGCAGCATCAGAATACCGGTTCCTGAACCATGTGTTATACGTGCCATATCATATTGGTGACCCTATTTATCAAAAAGGATAACAGATTCTGAAGCGAGAATTACCCAGATCCTTCAATTCTGAGTCTCATCATGAACCCTCAACTGCAAAAGATTCCCGGCGGAAGTTGGAGTGCCAGCCCTCTCTTCTTCCATCTTCCACCAGAATGGCGGAATGGCGAGTTTGGCCCGATCTGTCGTAGCGGACGTGCTCGGATCGTGAGGCTAGGCTGTGGGAACTGTACTCGTGGGGAAGGAGAGCCCGGTCCAAAGTTGGAGGAGCGGATTGTTGTGCTGACTTATCCACGCCCGGCTGCCTGGCTGCCCGCCTTGCCTGCCACAGAAAAATTAGTTGCTCAGAAGCCTCTGCGTATATATTATGTTTCAAATCCGAGCTTGTTGTCCAGGCTCTCTGGCGATGCGTCATTCTTTCTCGAGCCTTCAACTCTCTGTGCACAATGTACTACTAAGTACAGACACATAATGAGATCCTGCAGGGCCTGGCATGGAGTTCACCATTCTCTGGCTCTGGCATATAACGGCCAGAGCCATGGCCAGAGCTGTCCAGAGTCAGAGTCAGGGGATGCCATGCAAAGATTGCTGTTTGCTTGCTCGCTCACTTGTTTCAAGCGCTCAGCCATTGAGCCAGCCCGGCCATGCCCTGCCTTCCAAGACAGCAGCGAGCTATGACCGAACCAATGGATGCGGTGCGAGTCTTAATCTTGCAATTTAATCTGCTGTACTACCGAGGGAAGCTCAAGGGCTTAAGAGCAACCTGCCTGCTTGCCTGCCTGCATATGATCATGCCGGCCGAGGGCTTGGACATGCGGAATCCGCTGTTGGTACCACGATTTCACATGCTCGCCATAATCAACACAGCACAACCACACTAGTGTACGTTGAGTAGCAATCTGATCTCCCTTGGAAGCTCAGAGGTCTTCGTTCAGATTCCTTGAAAACACCACATCTTCACCGCCAATCGGCGAGCGCGGTTCCTGACCTGGATTTTCATCGGCATCACCGACACGGACTCCGCTCGGCATTTACAAAATCGGTGGGAGACCTGTCCCAAGGAGACATTCATGTGCGTGAGGGGGTTTCTCCGTCGTGGTCCCTCAGGGAGTGAGTGAGTAAAGTCGTGTGCGGGAAGCTTGACTTACGACGGAGTGTCAATGTGGTGGAATCACAAAAGCTGCTGTATGGCAACAACGGAATTGAAAGGCCCGAGGTTTAAGTCCTTCACACACATTTTCCTCCACTTGACAAGTTCCGAGGAAAAAACAGAATTTGAGCTCGAGGAGCACGCCACCGCTCTTCTGACTGGACCTTTTCTCGTGCGTCTTCGTGCACCGTCTCCTCAAGAATCAGTGTCAAGTGTCTTTTGCTATTCCGATCATACGTCCAATATCTTAGTCCATAGTCTTTGGATCATTCTATGAACATCGGCCCCATGTACCAATCTTCACGTTGAACTTTTCGGCTCTGTGGAGTCCCTGAAGATAAGCTCGGTTTGACTAAACTCAATGGCAATTATTATAAGCATGACGCCTCATGGTCTCGACTTCTATCAGGTACAGCGTGCAGTACTGTATGTTACCCATGAAGTCAAGGTTTACTACGGACCCAGCCCATACGTTACAACCTACACTGTACTCGGTTCACAGTGTTTCCGTAGTGGAATTCAGTCGCAAACACTTCAGATGTTATGGTCATCGCCCAGAAAGATGAAGATAGTATAGTACGAAGGTTTCCAGATTGGAAAAGACTTTCTTCGGACTTTCTCGTTAGCAGTAAATGATCCCAAACATTTGCAGTACTTGCACGCAAGTGCGATCAAACTTTCCTGCACAATGAAGGTACATGCACGCGCATGGTGGTGTGGTGTGACGACGGACGCCTTCCCAAGACTTGATACCATATGCACTTCAGCTTCTTAAGCAGAACGTGAGGGCGGGTGCTCTGGCTGCAAACGTCGTGTGGACATATTCGTGAAGATTCAGGTTTCATGGGAGTTTGTGGACATATTCGTGATGATTCAGGTTTCATAAAAGTTTGTGGACATCTATGCAGATGATATCCACAGCAATTTGTCACACTTGCATCCGTTGTCACACTTGCACCCTTCATCGGAGTCATGTTTCTACGGTACTGGCATCCACGGTAGAATCAACAATACTGTTCGGCCCTTCCTTCAATGGCATGCACATGTTTCCATTCCTGTCGAACGAATTATGGCGAGCGATGATAATGGCCCTTTGTTCCCGGATATTTGTACAAACGGGGGCAACTCATACGCCTAGGCAACCATAGCAGAATTGGATCTATAATACTCTCGAAAACGTTATTCCCGTCGTTCCAAACGTGGACATGTCATTGCAGTGTGCCTTCTTGGAAGAATCCATGAGAGTACAGCTCCATGGCCTACTTTATCGAGTTCAACGGAATACCTGTATCATCGTTCTATCCAGTACGTAGCTCACAATGATTGTTGCTTTCTTGACTTTTGTGGATTAGTCTGTGATACTCAGCCCCCTATATTTCCTGGTCAAACTTACCATCCTACAGTAGTTCGTGATGAACCAGATTCCTACCATTTCCTCGTGATGGACGGAGGAGTGGCTGTGAGTCTACCTCTATGAAGACATCAATCTGGCATTGGAATCCACTTATTGTGAAGGTTTCCGTCATGCCTTGTTTAGAGTCCATGACCATGCAAAAAGAGGTGACAACTGACGATCGTGAGAAGCCAATCTTGCCGCTGGTTATCATACAAAGTATATTGCACTACATAAAAGAGTTGTGTAGGTCTTTGGCATATACACAACTGATAGAAGAGTCCCAACACCCTGCTTGTGACTTCATTGAAACATGTTTGAATATGTACAAACTGATGAGCTGATACGTGGGGTGATATCCGATATGGTTTTCCTCATATTGGATCGAAATACATCCTGCAGCAAGTATGATAACAAAAAGGATGTAAGACCCCATCAATTCCTAAGTTCAGATAACCAAAACGGTGATATGAACCTAGGTTCCATTAGTACCATATCAATTGCATCTAAGATATGTAGATAGTTGAAATCATGTATGTCAAATATCTAATACAACTAAAGCATCAGATTCATAATCATTTATCGTGATTGATGTTCTCTGCAAAAATAATTCTTGCTTTCTGTAATGCAATGAACATACATTGAATTAAATAGGCGAGCAATAAGCCGGTTAGAGTAAAATGTATTCCACCGAGTATCTAGGTTACCAAGTCCTTGAGTATGACCAATTACCCATTTTGAACTTGTGACTTGTAGTATCGTTGACCATCTCATTTGCAACATTAGCATAATACTCCCTAAGCAAGAATGGGCATAGTCGACTTGAACTAACCTACTCGTACGTGTGCTAACAATACTTCTCTATATATTATATAATTTCACCTTTCATAACAAACATTACATCGTTGATGACATCATGGAAATATATTCGTAGCATTGTAAATCACACAGACACCTGTTGCATCTAAAATAATATGACATTTATGGGAGTCTTACAAACAAGACAGATATTTATGATTTATATTGATGCAAGTTAAAGAAAGCTTGATTCAAGATCCATAGCATGCACCGTTGCTTAAACAATAGTCCGATGAGCGCTTTTAGTTTTGCAGTCCAAACTAATGTGGCTTAAACAAGAAATGACAGAAGGACTTGATTTAGATCCAAAAAGATAAGAGTGCTCATCGAGCGATACAGAAAAAGTCGTATGTCCTACTAGTCTATGTGGTTAGATCCTATCAATTTTATCTGCTAGGTTCAATGCCAAATTTAGTCTCAAGACTGGAGACAAAGACCTTTGAAAATTATCATCCTCTCGTATACTTCTTGAGGAGTAGCAGATGTACTGTCTTCACTCTTTAAGATTAGATCTAACGAGAAGATCTTGACTCAATCATCCCGTGCATTTCGACCTCGAACCTTCCATCATGAGGCTAGAAAGCTTCATGTACCTACGATATCTTTCTTACTATCTACACACAAGTTTGTAGTGGAAATCCTGAATTAAAAGTAACGAAAGTTCAAATATATAACCATTTCATAAGCTCTTTGTGTATCTTCGACTATTTTATTGGAGAAAACAGGCCAAAGGCCCACACACTTTAGTCGGAAAGTTCTCCGTCAGGTTTTCTCCTTGTTGCGATCATTCCAATGGTCATCATGATGCAAATGTAATAATGAATCGTTGACCGGTCTTATACCCTTAATAGGGCTATTGAGATGGAAAGGCCCTAATCAAGCTGATCTATTTCAGTAATTTCCTCATGAGTTCTGTGATTTACTCACACTGCTCAACTCGAGACCATGGAGCATAATCTGTGTACAAATTCATAACTGCATATGAACCTTTCCGAGATCTTTCACTCATGAACAAGAGAGCATATCCCTCCTATATTGGCGGTACTGTTACTTTGTGATATACTTCATCGCAAGTATGACATTGCTCATGATTGTGAAACCGTCATTAAGTTTAAAATACTCTTGATCGTCAGACTAAGCGGAAAGAATATTTTATGTCCTTTCGTATGATGATCTCTGAATTGGGATATGTATGCAGAGAAATAATGGTTCGTTCGTAAAAACGACAAAATACTGTCAAAGCTTAACTATAAGAGCCAAATGATATCTTTGCAGTTCTTCAAAGTGGTGAAACAAATTTATTTTGTATGTGGAGAGAAAGGTAATTTATGCAAAAACAAAATTATGAATGAGATATGCACGAATTCATATTCCCCAAAAGAAGTTTAAGAAAACCTAAGCTCATATCTTGGATAGATGGATCAACACGACGCAAACCCCACAAAGTAATTTTTTTGGCAGATCCCCGGACTGTGGCGACTAGGTAGTCGTTGAGCAGTCAGACGATTCAGATTTGCATACCATTCCCGATGAACAAAACAAAGGAGGAAACCTGCCCCTCCAGCGCTACCTGTTGAATTTTACTAACGTCGAGGGTTTACTATCTACTCTAGATTGTCTGTCAACTGCCAGTTTCCAATCGTGTACAAATGATGCCATAAACCAAAAGTACAGCACTTCCAACTAGAGTATCGTCAGTACCTACTTCATTTAATTTCGTTTTCAACTCCAGTGGTATAAAACAGACAATTATAGGCCAAGTGCGTCAAGCTTTAACACTAAGTAAGGAATCAAAATCAAAGTGTGAAGATCCAGTAGCACTACATGGATGAAAGCTTAACATGGTACGAGAACCAGTAGCATAGTCCTGATACACCTTAAGATATACTAGCTTTGTAGTTGGAACAATTACATAAGCTTCCAAAAATCATATCACAACTCGTTATTTTTATTATGGATTGCATCATCTTTATCTAGACCGATGGTATATATTGACTACCATATTTGCGCAAACTCTCAATATCATAGTAAAATTTTTTAATTACAAATAACTCCAAACCTAGAGAATTATGAGGTGATCTATAATGAACACTTTAAAAAATTAAGGCTTGGGTAATTGGTTTTCATTACTGGCCCATCCATGACAATTAAGAATTACCAATCCAAAAAGAAATACCACATACATTATGTGTAAACACAACCTATTAACCTTTCAAATCAAGCATATGCATTACCTTATCCAAGCCGAGTAAAAAATAAATCAACCTTTGTTTTTCCATAGCACATATCATATTCATAGTGGCATCATATGATTTATCTTGAGACTTTAAATTGATCTACGAGTTTTTTTTTGCAAACATGTGGCGACACACTCATCTTGAATGGTGATCAATTAGTCTGAAATGTCGTGATAATAGGACACAAAAGTGTGAGCATGATGACAGGACAAATTAATGAGTCAGCAAATTTAAATTATCTTTTCAAACTCCTAAAAGTAATTGCATATGAGAAACTAAATAATGTAAGCATTCTGTATCATTCGAGTCAAATTTAGTTTCACTTGTTACATGATGTGTCATGGAATTTTTGAAGTGGTTCCATGAGGTAAATCAACACTATGGCTATCGCAAAGTAC